AAAAATAATAATAATAATTTTGCACACCCCTACTCGGAAGCTAAGCAGGGTTGACTCTGGCAAGTACTTGGATGAGAGACCTCCCTGGAATGCCAGCAGTCGGGAGGTGGGGGCAGGCTTTATTCAGCCACCTCTCTGAATATCTTCCAGGCCCCCAGTAGGGGGTCAGTCACCAGAGGTCACCATGACTTCCAAGTGCACACACACTCACATGCACACACATGCCCATATGAAAAATGCAAGAAACAACAACAACAATGCTGTGGTAGGGACTGCACCCTTGTCTTGGTCTTCACACAATTCCTGGTTCTTGCAAATTGTTCAGATGTGTACAAGTGCTTGGTGGAAAACAAACACTGGAAACATAGTACTCGGTGGAAATCCTTTAACTATCAACACAGTGACTAATCACTGGCACCTGCACAGACAGATAAACCCTTAAATGTGCATGCATTCAGCCTCAGTAACACCAGCTTGTGGTCTACTCAATGTCATTCCTGTGGCAAACTAAATGTATTCCATTTTAAAGTGCTATTCAGATACTTACATGCGGTAGATAGGATCTAAATTGAAAAGGCTACTTTGGAAATGTTTCAGAAACATTGCTGTGTGAGAGAACAGCACATTTCTTCATCTGGGCACTACTAACCAGACAAACATACAGACACCTATTGCAATAAAGCAGCAGAAGAACAAGATTCGAGTCCAGCAGCACCTCAAAGACCAACAAGATTTCCAGGGTATAAGGTTTCACGAGTCAACGTTTCCCTTGCTCGAAAGCCAGTCAAATCAGACTCTAGGGTTGCGGTGTTCATCTCCGTTTCCAAGCCGAAGAGCCAGCGCTGTCCAAAGACGTTTCCGTGATCATGTGGCCATCATGACTAAACGCCAAGGCACACGGAATGCTGTTACCTTTCCCATCGAAGCGGTACCTATTTATATACTTGCAATTTCTTGCTTTCGAACTGCTAGGTTGGCAGGAGCTGGAACCAGAGACAGGAGCTCACTCCGTCATGCGCCACTTGGGTCTTGAACTGCTGAACTACCGACCTTCCAGCCTGCAGTTCAGCATCTTAACCACTTGAGCCACCGCAGCTCCTTTCACGAGTCAAAGCTCTCCTCAAAAGCTTATACCCTGAAATCTTGTTGTTGAGGTGCTGCCAGACTCTAGTTTCACTCTTCTACTGCAGACCAATATGGCTACCCACCTGAAACTCTCTACTGCAATAGTAACAGTCATACTTCTCAGAGCTTGTTGTGGCTTTTCCAGTATACAACTAGGAGCGTTATAAAACTGATCTGGCCAGAAACTATTGGGGCACTCAAAAATTGCCAAATGCAACTCACATGAGTGGTGACAACTTAGCTCTACCATCTGCATGTCTCTGAAAAGACATTCGTTCACAGGCAAAGTCATCCTAAAGTTGACAAGTGGAGCACAGAATGTCAGAAGTATCCACTGTTGCCTTCCTGCTAGAACACAACGCCATTCAGGGACAACCTTGGCAACTATGTCTTAACTCTTCACATATTTTAAAACACAGGTACAATATCCCCCAAAGTTGGATGCTGCACAACTCTTGGTATACAGGGTATATACAAGATAATCTATGGGGTGCCAGATACCAGCCGTTCATAGTTTTCAGTTTTCTCTTAAGTCAGCTAAAATAAGCATTTGACACACATGTTCATAACCATTCTCAAAGATCCTCTGGTAATTCTAAAGATAACACTTTATTCCAATTTCAAAATACTTCAGACCAGAAGAAATTCTAAATACCCTGCAAAACCACTAACCAGCAAAGATGAAATACGCAAACCTGTTTACATTTACAGACATTGGGAAGAATTTTTATGGATAAATTTACTAGTGTGTGCTTTCCCACGACTCACTTCAATTCCCTGGATTTCTATGGTGACATCATCGTGACCCAAACTTTGTATGTTCAAATGTTAATCTTTAATACTTTCAGTTAAAGCATCCCCAACTCCATTTACTATAGCCCAAGAGGACAATCCAAATGCCTCATTTCTGTATGGCAAATACAGTAACTGGCAAACACATACATCTACCATATGATTTAAGTAAAACAGTTATCTTTCTGAGGGCTAGTATTTTAAGTAAAAAACATGGTTTCTGATATTAAATATCATATATCCATACGTTTAAGAGGATGGGGTGAGGAGTATTACACAAACAAAGCTCTTAGTGTTACTTGGCTATGAATTTGAAGCAGCAAGATAAAAAAACATGCAATGTTTGAATTATATGAAATCTACACACACACACACACACACACACACAATTAAAAGTACTCTTCTCTCCCCAACCATCACCACCGCCTTCCCTAAATGCAGTACCTGAAGTCTAGTGTTCATTTCCAAGAAATAGAAGTTCCTTTTTGAGTCCACCAGAAATTCCACTGTTCCAGCAGATGAGTATTTTACAGCTTTGGCGAGAGCTACGGCTTGTTCTCCCATTGCTCTGCGTGTCTTGGGATCCAAAAAAGTGCTTACACATGTAGGGAGGGAAAAATCTTAAACTTAGACAGTAGCATTTCAGACTGTTTATACCTTTGAGACCAAAATATAAGTGGGGGTAAGGGAGCGTAACATAAAGTAACTGGAATTTGCATTAGATACATGGGGTTGGATCCTATGACTCCACTAAGTCTTCCTTCAACAGAGAAATACTTTTTCCAATAATGACTTTTTCTGATGGTGAAAGGCTTCATCTAAGGAAGACAAGTCTTTCTTTGCCAAAGGAATTCTCTCTCCATTGGAAGAAAACCTGCAGGTAGGGGTTCATAGCATCCAACCCCTTATTCAGCCTAGCACGTGAACACATACTTCTGTTATGGATGCTAAACAACTTTTGTGATGTTCACTCACTTAATAAACATGATTAATGTTAGAATTAAGAGAGCTCTTCCTCATTCCACAGACCTGCTTTCCGTGTGAAAAATGGACAAAATATTTATCAACCATAAGTGTCCCTTTATTATCTCTTTCTCTCCCAAGTTACCCTTGCCCGTCCTCCAAGGTTCTCAGCTCTTCAGTTTTTATCCTCACAGCACCTGCCTTTTGTCTTTATGCCCGCCTTTTGTCTTTACTGTCACTAAAAGCAGCCAGGAGCAATTTTTGGTTAGGAAAATGGCAAAGAGGGAGAGTTAAGCCCCACTTCCCCAGTATCATGACCCTGATCCATATTGTTCCCCTCCCCTGAGTTTTTCCACACCCGAATTTAGGGAGAGTCAATGGTCAACATCTCTTTGAAACACCCATTTGGACAACTGGTTTGTCTTTCGTTTTTTAACAAGCAGGAGCTTACCCTAAATTCTTAACATGCAAGAAACAAACTAAGCCACAAAATAAGTGCACCAGCACAATTACCATGTATGCTATTTCCAGTCTTAGCATAAATTAGTTCAATATTTTGAAGATGCGAATGTAATACACATACTTGAATGCATGCACCTGCATATGTACATTTTCAGAATCATAGCCTCCTCAATTAAACAAAGCACATTATTCTTTTTTAAAAAAACTTCAGTTAATAGTTTAATATGCAGCACTCCCATTTGCCATGTTTTTGTTTCCATAGAGAACAAATTAAGGCATTAGTGATGGAGGGGTTGGGTATGTGAGGGGGGAGGGGAATCTTGAAATGAGAATTTGTAAAGCTTCACACAGAATTGTCTTGCTGTTTTAACTTTCGCCTATAACACAGAATGTGACATCCAATGACAGTAACAGCTTGCAGCTTAAATTATTCTTTCAACTTTACCCTTAGAGCTGAAAGTTTTAATTTTCTGCTTTTCTTACTTGATTCATCTGTTCCACGCAGCAAGGTGCCCCCCTCTCCCACCCGGGGCACAGCTGTTTCTCCTTCCTGAGAGTGCAGTTGTGGAAACCCTTTTGAGAACTTCTGTGAAGACTGATCCCTATCCAGTGAGTTTCCTCTCTACAGGACACTAAATATATCACCTTCTTGAGGCCAGAGGCTCAGAAAACACAGGGAGGAAAAACATGTATGCTGGATGTATTTCTTCACACTATTCAGATGATGCTTCTATAATACACATTCAGATTTATGTGCAGCAGTTTTGGAAGTTTTACCTATCAAAGTATGGAGGAGGTTGCTCCCGTCCTCATGCTGAGAAGCTGATTTGGGTACACAAGCGTATACAGAATTTTTAAAACTGAAATTTGACAATCTGTCTCTCTTCCCATCCACCCCACTTAGAAAGCAAAGACCAACAAGTATTTTATCACACTTCTCATATTAGAGTGGTAAATCAAACAAATGTAATAATCCCAACAGCAGGGGAGTCAGAGAATCAGAATTCTAACAGAACTCTACAACAGAAGACATTTCCTGTGCACAAAATGGTTGAAAATCTGTGTTTATTAAGCGCCTAAAAAGTAACTAGGCGCTGTACAGGAATAAAACATAAATAAAGACAATCTGCTAGCTCACAGTCAAGGACAAGACACACTAGAGAAGGGAGAGGAGTAGGAGTAGACTGAGATGGAACAGGAATAAGGGAGAGGGACTCTATTTCCACGCTGAAAGAACTAGAGACTTCACAAATACCTCCTGAAAGACTTAGCTTCAGGCTTCACATCAAAACCATAAAATAGAAACCCTTTTTTCAGTTAACAGGTCAGGTGGCCATGGCAGAGGGCCTATTCCAATGACAACCCCCACCCCCCCACACACAGACACACTCCGCAACCTCTATTTGTGGTGAAATCAGAGGAGAACCTCTGAATCACATCTCTCCCTCCTGCACTCTCATCACACTCATAATCTTAGATCTAGAGAAGCCCATGCACATACGGCATGGGGGTGGACAATCTGAGCATCCAACAGCTGCCCCTTATGCCATATGAGGTGCTGCTCCCCAGTGCTCCCAGGTGTCGGGAGGCTTTCCAAGGGGGGAGAAGGAGGCTGCAAAAAGGACAACATACACATGCAGAAACAACCTTGCACTTCTCTCAATCCAAATCATAGAAAGTAATGCTCAAACTGGGAGACACTCTGTTTGTGTGTCAACATGGGAACTCCCAGCATGTGCAGCAGTCCACACCCTGCTTGAAGTCTCACCACTCATATCCGGGGGGGGGGGGGTATCATCTCAACAGGCACCGTATCTGTTTCTGTCGGGAGTTTTAGCCCTTTAAAAAATCCAGCATGCGTGTAACGTTATGCTTTTAACAGACAGGTAGTTCTGTTAGCTAAGGCAGCTCTGAGTCATTCTACACATTACTGCTGCCCATCTGTTTATTTTCTAAAGGTGTTCCAGTGCCTCCAAATCGGAAATGCCAAACTATAATTCCTTTTCTCTGGTTTGAACAGCTTTCACAAGCCCATGTCTCACAGCACAGAATTATGCATGGCACCAAATATTACTGCAAAGTAATACTGAAACAAAACAGAATTTTATTACAGCCTTCTGTCAATTTCTGTGCTAAGAAATATAGGTTAGAACCTAAGAACTAGGAGCGGTGCAGAACTCATGGAGCAGATTTCCAACTTTTTTGATACAACCCCCTGTAGCATCAAAAAAAGTAATGCCTAAAAGTTGGGGTACTCTTAGTGCAGAATGCGGTACAAGGGGCTAGAGCTTGGGGGGGGACTGTGGAAATTTTCACCCTTTCCCAAGGTATCTGCTTCTGTGCCACTGGAGATCATCTGTGTCTATCCAACCCCATGAAAGGGAATAACACTAGATGAGCAGTTTATGCATCCCTACTCATTTCTCTACTATACTGTACATCTATACTGAACCGTTTATGTAATTAAAAAACAACACTACCTAAAGAATTGTATGTACTCATGAAAAGTGCTAATACTCACCTTGGTGCTTCTTCAATGACTTTCTGATTTCTCCTCTGAATGGAGCATTCTCTTTCATTCAGCCATAACGCATTGTTATGCTTATCAGCCAAAACCTAATAAAAGGTCACTTTTAATAAGTAAATGCGTTGTTTCTCTCTCTCAATACCAGCAACATCAATAAAATTATTCAATTAAAATAACAAAATTAATTATACAAAAATCAATCATCTGAGACAGAGACAGAGACATTATTCAAGGACTCCCAGAACATGTTTAGACATTCATTCAAGGGAGAATTTCCCACCTGATAAAGTGTCAGCCTATCATATGTCCACCCCTCAGGAATAAACAGGTGGACTGGACCGGATTGGACTGTATTTATTTGAATGTATCTCCCTAAGACCACAGAAAGAATGGGAGTTTGGATCAGATGGTCAAAGACATGAGACAGTCAACTATTGTGACATTAATCATGACAACATGGCCCAATTCATTTGTAGAACACATTACAGGTTGGGAATTTTCCCTGGAATCAGAAAAGGACTTTACAGTTTTGCTGAATTAGATTCATAGTTGTAAGAACACTAAAAACCAAACTTAACCTCTTCCCAAGCAAGCTGATCTCTAAGGATTTTCATCGGCAAAAATAGGCACATTTTATAAAATCTATATTTTATTGACAATGAAGTTCACATAAGTAATAAATATAAATCCTGTTACTTTGGTACCCTCATCCAGTGGACTGTATTTACGAGCAGCCAAATGAATCTAATGGAAAACGTACTTAAAAATATGTTCAGATCAGTCTTATTCCTCTTGGGGGCTCTTACATCTAACAGGAAGGGGATCTGAACAATTCTTCCCTCTATACATTCTGCGGCTATAGTTAACAACAGTACCTTTTCCAACAAATGATGAAAATATGACAGACACAAACCTATATTTAAAAACTAGCTAAACTACTCATTTCACTTTCCTGAACAAAGATTTTTAACTGATGTCTGAACCAGATAATCCCAAGGCCACAAAACATCCCAAAATGTTAGCAGAAGCACTTATGTTTGTGGCTTGATTTCACCAGTGCCTTCCCTTCTACATCTCCATACTCTAGACGGTTCTCCCAACCCTCTGGAGCCAGTTTTCAGGAAGAGGGCGCTAAATATAGAGAGAAGGCTAAATATGGAAGAAAAGAGAAAATAAGCAGCATCACCCCTACATGAGCAGAAGCACTTTCTGCTCAGCCAGCAGGATCTTTACATCCAAGATCATTGTTTGGGGGGCAGGGAAATTTAAAAAACTAATACCAAATTTTAACCCAAGTATTTCAGAACAATAGTCCAACTCTGAGTCAAGTAAAAAATCTGGGAGCATCTGACAAGAAAAAAACATATTAACGTGACTTTTTTTAAAAAAAGAAGAAGCTAAAGTTCTATGTCCAGGATCCATAGACTTGTGAGGCTCCTCCAGCTCCACTGGCTTGCCCTTAGCAATCTTGCTGGGCATTTCTATTGGGTTTCCCCAGCCCTCAGAATGGGGAAGGAGCACAGCTTTTGCTGCCCCAGACCTGCTCCCTCCCCTTTTCCTTACACTCTCCCTGGAACCTTCCTTTAAAGGTCCAAATAGCCCTGCCCCCCTCCCGTGGGTATACCTGGCCTCTCCCTGAGGGAGGGTGGTGATTTTGCCCCAGCCAGCTCTTCCACCTGTGCCTGGAGTCATGTTGCCAGGTAAGAGCCAGCAGCTCTGCCATTCTTCCCCTGTCCGAGAACTATCAACCTTGGCCATTCCATGGCCCATGTTGTCACCCAGGACAATGCTGGGCTCTCTGTCAGCAGGGGTGGGGCTGCTAGGAGCTCCTAGAGAGACTGGGGGGGTTCTGGTTCTGAGTCCAGTGGCATCTCCAGACAGACTTACTTTATGCATTTCCCGAGGGATTTCCAGTTTTTATTCTTTGAATAGCGAACCTCCACACCACATAACAAACTGTTTCTGCAATCCTCATTTCAAAAGCAATTCACCATGCAGCCCTGTGTGCTGCTGAAAATAAAATAACTTAAAATAAATAAAGCAAGCAAGGCCAAAGACCTCTTGGGGCATACACAATAAGGATACCGCCAAGAGATACCACTTAATGGAACTTTTTTGAATATGGAAAATTTCCCCAAAGAAGAACTGTTGTTAAACAGTTTTGCAGCACCTGTGGGGGTCCAGTTCTGCCCAGATTTGTAGGAAGTAGAGAAGAGAGTAATAGGAAGGGATTTGCACATGTCCAGTGAATAGCAAACTTAAGCCACATGGTTAAACTGCTTTGGAAGTACTGCTACCATTTCAAAAGTAAATTAAACAAAAAATGAAACCCATGCGAAAATAACGAAAAACATTCAACAGACAATATAATGATATGAACTTATATAAGTGGTGCAGTTTATCAAAAATACAATGTATACAATGCAAATTAGTAACTCAAAAATACAAAATACATGGTCTAAATTCATAAATAATGTTCAGAAATAGTCCAAATCAAATTTATCTAACAGTGAAAACAGTGAAAAGTCCAAATTTGACTACACCACTCTAATAAGTTCATATCATTATATTGTCTGTTGAATGTTTTTCGTTATTTTCGCATGGGTTTCATTTTTTGTTTAATTTACTCCCTTCCGTACCATTTCAGAAGTGGCTTTTATACACACTGTGAAGGTGCTTTTTACAAATGTAAGTCCAAAGCACCCTTGGCAAGCCTGACCAGTTCTTTGGATTCTGGGCACTGCATTTAGAACCTGGATGTTACTACATACTAAGAAAGTTTGGGTTGTAATGCTACATGACTGCAAGGACTGGGTTAAACATTGTCAATTCAGCCATCAGTTTCAACAATTCAACAAGAATATTGAATGCGTGTGGGGAAAAATACCAACCTGAATTTCTATGTGTCGAGGGTTATCAATAAACTTTTCTATTAACAATCGATCATCGCCAAAACTTGAAGCAGCTTCCTGAGATGAAAACCTAAAACCTTCCCTTTAAGGAAAACAGATTAAAGATTCAGAAAAACAGAAGCCAGCATGTTGAATTGTTATCATACAATTAGGCCAAGGTAGGCAACTTATTTGGCCGGAGCACAAAAAAAAATTATCCCCACAATGCTTACCGGTAAAAATGTTGCTGCACCAGTAAGGGGGGGGGGGGAACAGGCAAAGATAGTTCTTAGCCAGCAAGAGCAAGTTGAGCCCCGGTGGTGCTACAGTGCCTCAGGGACTCACCTCGGTATCTTGGGTAGACAACCACCCATGTGTGTGAAGCCAAATGGTCTGCTGTACAGCACCCACACCATGGTTTAGTGCCCCTGGCTTTGGCTGTGACCCAAACAGCCACACAGGAATTCTGTATGTGCAGTTCAGGTTCTAGAACCTCACTTCTGGCAGTACATCACTGAACTGCACCCTGACCTGGATACCCCAGGCTAGACCAATCTTGTCACATCTCAGAAACTTAAACAGAGTCAGCCCTGGCCAGCATGTGATGGGAGACCTCCAAGGAATAGCAGGGCCGTGATGCAGAGGCAGGCAATGGCAAACCACTTCTGTATGTCTCTTGCCTTGAAAACCCTATGGGGTTGCCATAAGTCAGCTGTGACTTGACGGCACTTTCCACCACCACTGCACTGCTTGCTATGCTTCTTCTGAAACTCAAGAGAACGGCAAGAGCAGCTTTTGACACAATGCAAAGGAATTGCAGTGGGTATTAAAGCAAGGAAGTTTAGATGACTTCCACATGGCTATGGAAAATGTTATAACTGTGACCAGGGCCGGCCCGAGGTTTTTTCGCACCCTAGGCGAGGCTAGCTTGTGGGGGGCCCCCCAGGTGAGGTTGCCTTGTGGCGCCCCCCCACCGCACATCTTTATTAGGCAGACGGCCTCATTAGCATGAGAGCCGGTGGGCGGAGAGCAGCAGGAGGCGGGTGGCGCTCTCTCACCTCAACCCCCCGTCGCCACAGGGCTTCCGCACAGGGGGGGCTGCCCAGGAGATCTGGCCGCTAGTAGAAGTCGCCCATCCCACTGCACTGCCGCCTCCTCCTCATCCCCTTTCTCTTGCCTGGACTTTATGCTAGGGACGAAGAGATTCGGGGGCTGCAAAGCAGGGGCAATGGAGGGGGTAGGACTTCCTTGTTTCTTTTCCCCGCAGCGCCTTCACAGCTCCTTCCGGGCACCTTCTCCACAGTCAGGACTGCTGCGGGGAAGAGTGTGAACTGGGGGGACGGTCAGGGGATGGGGCAGCTGGGTCTGCAAGCATGAGCAGGGCCCCGGGAAGAAGCCTCCCCGAAGTCCAGGGAAAAGGGGGCTTCCGGGAGGCTCTATGGGGTGTGGGTGGGCTGCGAAGCTTTGGCCTTCGGACAGCGCCTGCTGGGTGGGGGGGCGGGGGGGCTTGTAGAGTCAGCAGTCCGAGCAAGCAAAGCTGAGTGGCGGGGGGGGGAAAGGCTGCCTCATAGCTCCCCACCAGGCGGGCGGTCTCCGAGGCATCCTTGCCGGCCGCACTGGGGGGCTCCATGGCGCCGGAGGGGCAGCTGCGAGCGCTCTGGGGCCCTCAGCGGCGGCAGGAGCACTCCGGGCTGGGGGCAGCAAGGCGGCAGCAGCAGGGGCCTCGCTGCACCCCTCGGAGATCTGTGCCCTAGGCCGTCACACTAGTTGGCCTAGTGGAAGAGCCAACCCTGCCTGTGACTCTTAATCTTTGATCCGCTTCCACCCACCAAATATGCAACATTATAATCAAATGCCTCCCAAACCATAAGTCCAAATTTTTTTTATTTAAAAGAGCATTTCATTTATGAATGTCTTTTTATGAGACATAAAAACATAAGAAGAGCCCTGCTGTATCAGACCAGTGGTCCATCTAGTCAAGCATCCCATCTCACATAGTAGACAACCAGTTTCTCTGGAGGGCCAACAACAGGGCATAGAGGCCAAGTCCTTCCCCTGACATTGCCTCCTAGCTCTCGGATTCAGAGGCTTAGTGCCTCTGTGGCTAGTAGCCATTGATAGATTTATCCTCCATGAATCTACCTAATCCCCTTTTAAAGCTGTTTGTAATACAAACACAAATAAACAGATCTGAGTCATACCTTCAATGAGACCCTTGGCCTTGATGGTCTACAGCCAACTCCTTAGTTTTAGGTTTGATTTCTGTTCTGCAAATGGTTGCCTAAAACCCCAAATGTCCTCCAAAGTTCTGGATGCCTCCCAAGATTTGTAGATTACCCTTGGAGGCCATACAGCCTCTATTAAGAATGTTTTATATGCCAGTTACAACTTCCAATACTGCAATAATTAATGTTATAGCAAATACAGCAGTATTCAAACAGAGAAAATAATTAGATCTATATTTTGTGTCTCTCCCCCTATGCCCTCTACTGACTTTGATATTCTCAAAAATCACAGCTCGCCTTTTCTTTTGCCTTCTTATTCAACAGTATTGTTTAGTCTTTGTTGTTATGAAGAAAGTATTTAACATGCATATTCTGCTCAAAAAAGACTACCTGGTCTCCCAGCAGTCATCATATAACTTCTGTTGGTGTGTGGGTTGGGTTTTGTTTTTGTTTTTTGGATTTGTACCCCACCATATGTGGCTCCAAGGGCACCTAACAATACTTAACACAATACTGATTTAAAAAGCAACAAAAGATCAACAGCAAAAAAAATAGAAAAACCTGCTCAATGGATTAAAAACAACAACAAAAACCTATGACAGTTTACGTAGTCATCAAGTTCTGCCGCCCTCGGAAACCTAGTTGCCTTACACTGACCTTCTAAAAATAAGCACCAGGGTGGCTCAATGGACTTTTTTGGGAAGGATGTCCCTTTAAAAAGGTGCCACTACAAAAGAGGACCTGCCCTTCACTGGAATCAGTCTAGCATCTAACAAAGATGCATCTCCTAAACATGGGTCACTCAGATAATCTCACAGAATCATAGAGTTAGAAGGGACCTCCAGGGTCATCTAGTCCAACCCCCTGCACAAGGCAGGAAATTCACGAGTACCTCCCCCTCCTCACCCACAGTGACCACTGTTCCATTCCCAGAAGATGATAAAAAACCACCGGGGTCCCTGGCCAAACTGGCCTGGAGAAAAATTGCTTCCTGACCCCAAAGTGGCAATCAGCATTTCCCTGGGCATGTAAGAAAGGGCCTCAGAACTAAGCACTGAGGCAACACTTCCTGCCCTCCCTCTCATGATCTGCCTAAGTTCACAGAATCTGCATTGCTGTCAGATGGCCATGTAGCCTCTGTTTGAAAACCTCCAAAGAAGGAGAGCCCACCACTTCCCAAGGAAGCCTGCTCCACTGAGGAACCACTCTGTCAGGAAGTTCTTTCTAATGTTTAGCCAAAAACTCTTCTGATTTAATTTCAACCCATTAGTTCTGGTCCAACCTTCTGGGGCAACAGAAAACAACTCCGTACCATCCTCTATATGACAGTCCTTCAAGTACTTGAATATGGTTATCATATCACCTCTCAGTCGTCTCCTCTCCAGGCTAAACATACCCAGCTCTTTCAACCTTTCCTCATAGGACTTGGTCTCCAGACCTCTCACCATCTTCACTGCTCTCCTCTAGACACGTTTCAGCTTGTCTATATCCAACTTAAATTGTGGTGCCCAAAACTGAACACAATACTCTAAGTGAGGTCTAACCAGAGCAGAGTAAAGTGGTACCATCACTTCGCGTGATCTGGACACTATACTTCTTTTGATACAGCCCAAAATTGTATTTGCCTTTTTAGCAACCACATCACACTGCGAACTCATGTTCAGTGTATGGTCTACTAAGACCCCTAGATCCTTTCCGCACATACTACTGCCAAGACAAGTCTCCCCCAACTTATAATTATGCATTTGATTTCTCCTACCTAAATGCAGAACTTTACATTTATCCCCACTGAAATTCATTTTATTTGTTTTAGCCCAGTTTTGCAGCCTGTCAAGGTCATCCTGTAATCCTGACTCTGTCTTCTACCATATTTGCTACTCCTCCCAATTTAGTATCATCTGCAAATTTAATAAGCATTCCCTCTATCCCTTCATCCAAATCACTGATGAAGATGTTAAATAAAACAGGTCCCAAGACAGATCCTTGAGGCACTCCACTTGTCACTCCTCTCCAGAAGATGAGGAATCATTCACAAGCACTCTTTGGGTGCGATCTGTCAACCAGTTACAGATCCACCTAACAGTCATAGGATCCAAACCACATTTTTCCAATTTGTCAACAAGAATATTATGTGGAACCTTATCAAAAGCCTTACTGAAATCAAGATAAACTATGTTTACAGCATTCCCCTGATCCAGCAAGGTGTATACAAATCTCAGTGTATACAAAGCACTGAATGGGAGGAGGTACTTTCTAAAGTTAACTGGACCAAGAGCATTCAAAGCTTTAAAGGTATTCTGAACTAACTGAAGGTTCCCAGTTTCAAAGGTGGTACACAGTAGTAATTCAGCCTCAGCCTCAGCCTTCCCAGTTTCAAAGGTGGTACACAGTAGCAATTCAGCCTCAGTCTCATCCAAGTCACGGATAACAGTAAGGCCAACATTTTTTCCTAGTAATTCTAACAACTGTCAAACCAACTTCAGCTGGTAAAAGGCATTCCTTGATCTTCCCTCTATGGATAATGCCGAATAATTTACACCTTTTGACCCACTCTAGTAACCTTAGAAACTTATAAATATCCTATATGTGGTTATACCTACATGGTCAGTATCTCACATATAATCCAGAATTGGCCATGCAATTTGAGTGTAAGCATGGATGTATGAAGGTGGACATAAGAACGTGAGAACTGCCCTGCTGGATCAAATCAAGGATCCAACAGCAAAATGTTTCCAACAATAGCAAGTCTGATGGTTTCAAGATGCACACAAGCTGCACCTGAAGGTAACAGCATGGGTGAATGGTCTTCTTTTGAGAGGATGTTCTTTAATAAAGCTGCCACTACAAAGGTGGATCTGCTACTTGTTGCAATCAATCT